CCTAAAGAACTGTTTGAACCATCTCCCGAATTTTGACACATTTGTAAGACACAGTACAGAGTCCCTGAATGTTGCAGACAATGAAAGCATTTGGTTAACTGCTAGGTTGGAGGTTTGAGTCCACTCAGAGGTGCTCTGGAAGAAAGCACTGGCGATCTACTTCTGAAACATCAGCCATGGAAAATGCAATGTGTCACAGTTGAACTCTGGCACCTGTATGATCGCCTTGAGTCATATCAACTTCACAGCAGTGGGTTATTTTCATTATTATTTAATTCTGAGTAATGTTTTATTTCTGCACATATTATTTTTCCTCATCAATTTAAAGTACCTTATTTTTGTAATAAAAAAGGGTTTTGTCATAAAAAATAAAAAAACACCCATGTGAACAAAGGGAAGAAATGTGGGATAGGTGGAAGATGAATTGGATGAGTGAACAACTGCATCGTGGTACCCAAGGTAGCAGCAGTGTTCTATAACAACTCCCATGGCTCTGTCTTCCTCTTCTACATTCTTCTTTGGTGACTTATATGTGTAAAGGAGCCCTGGTGGCATAGTGGTTATGCATTGAACTGCTAACCTCAGGGTCTGAACTTCAAAACTACCAGCTGCTTCACAAGAAGACGATGAGGCTTTCTACTCCTGTAAAGCTTTACAGTCTTGGAAACCCACAGGGGCAGTTGTTCCTTGTTCTACAGGGTCACTAGGAGTCGGTATCAACTCATTGGCAGTGAGTTTAGTTTTGGATATGAATCAAGGATCCTGGACTGTTAACCACAAGATAGGTGGTTCAAACCCACCCGCCACTCTACAGGGGAAAAAAAAAAAAAGAGATGAGACCATCTGCTTCCATGAAGATGTGCAGTGTCAGACGCCTATAGATCAGTTCACAAAGAGTCAGAATGGTGCTGGGGGCAGTGGGTCTTTAATATAGGAATCAGAATCAATTGCAAGGCATGGATTTGGTTTGAGTTTGTTATAAAGACAAAGAAGATATGATCATCGTGTTTGTAAACCACCCTAAAGTAAAGCAGATCAGAACAGGTTGGCTTCGTGGACTGGATGAAATGACTCAGGTCAGCAGAGACAAAACCTGTCATAGTTGTACGTAAACTTTAAGAGTTCTGGATAATAATAAGCTCACATTCAATGTGAGTCAAACACGTGTTGTGGTCATCAAAAAGGTGATGCGTCGAAAATATTTCAATAAATACATTACTTTGTTAAAAAGAGCTAGTCTCAGAAACTCATCAGAATCAACTCGGTTACTGTGAATTTGATTTGTTTGATTGAGTCTACAAGTATTCCATTAAGCTGAACAACGATCCTGTTCATGTTCCACCCTTTGCTACCAAAGCATGATGAAAGCAAGCATGGTTTCTATACTCGGTAAGGGTTCCACGAGTACTGCCAATCCCA